AAAAATGTTAATCTGTTGTTTGAAGAAAATCGATGAAAAACAAGAGAGAAAGAAACAAAACCGAAGAAAAATAAAGAAAAGGAAAAGACAATGAAAGCCGAGAAAGATATAAAGAAATCATAAGAAAAACAATGAAAAAGGAAGGAAAGAAAATAGTAATAAAATTTGAGAAAAGTCGATGAAAAAAAACAGAAAAAATCTAATAAAAAACCAGCTCTTTTTGCCTCAAGAAGGACACGGCTAATAAACTTAGCACGAACGCAATGTTAGCCGAGTGGCTATGGGGGGATGCCCCCCACGTGGTATTGGGCGGCCCATTCACGCGCGCATAGTAGTAAGTAAAAGGAGCAAAGGAATAGGGAGAAGCAGGGAGCAATTAGTGACGAGCGCTTTTTCAGGAGCCTCGCAACAATCACTTGTAGGTGGGCAGAGAGTACGTCACCTGGCACGGTCTCAGCCGCCGCCATGTGTCGCGCTCTGGGCGCTCCCTTCGGGCTTTTTCTTTTAATTTTTTCACACGCGTTTTCAGCCTTTTAAGCGGGTTTTTGGGGGGTTTTCAGTTTTCCACTAGTCTTCTTTAGCTTTTGGACCAAAAAAATTGTGAAAAACCCGGTTTATTTTTGCTTTGAGGCACGGTTTTGCTTTCGCGAGAGACACGGTTTTGGTTCTGTGAGAGGCACGGTTTTGCTATCGCGAGAGGCACAGCAGTGCCTCTCAGAAACGAAGAAAACGTGTTCTCTGTTTTTTTTCTGAGAGGGGCACGGTTTTGCTGCTGAGAGAGGCACGGTTGTGCTTTCGCGAGAGGCACGGCCGTGCCTCTCGGAAACGGAAAAAAGGACGCATTTTCTATAAAAAAAATATTCCACGAGGCACGGTTTTGCTTCGGCGAGAAGCACCGTTGTGCTTTCACGAGATACACGGCGGTGCCTCTCGAAAAATGAAAAAAATAATAGCCTTTCACGAGAGGCACGGTTTTGCTTCCGCGAGAGGCATGGTTGTGCTTTCGCGAAAGGCACGGCCGTGACTCTTTCGGAAAGGGAAAAACCATGCTCCCAGTTTAGTTTTTTGTCTGGTTTTTTCATGAAAAAAAAGTCTGTCAAAACCTATCAACATGGTATCTAATTTTAAAAATCTCGATGTGAGGAATCCAACGATGAAAACAGTTCAAGATTTGGATGCACGGTTTAAGAAATAAAACGTTTTAAATAAACGCATCTATGAAAAAAGGAAAACAGCCACAGGTTGCGACAAGTGGCGCATATGCAACGCGCCACTTAACAACCTAAGAAGGTGATGGTGATCTTTGAGTGTTCCTCGATTAGTGATTTCGGGAGAAGCAGGAAATTGATCCCTGGTCCCGAGGGAGATCACGGGCGCTACTATCCAATCCACCCCATGTCGTATTGGGCCGGCCCATTCATGCGCGCATAATATTAGCACAAACGCAATGTTAGCCGAGTGGCTGCCCCCAACTTCGTGTTTTAATTTTCTTTTCTCTTTTGTTAATTTTGTTTCTCACTTTTCTTTGTTCTTTTGGTTATTATTCTACAATTCTTGTATATGTCAACAACATTTTTCTAATACATGTGTAATATTTTTCCAATACAAATTAATAAATTTTTGTAACACATGGTCAATATTTTTTCTATACACATTTTTCAAATTCTTGATTAAAATGTATCAAATAGAGAATTAATAATTTTATATAAATTTTTAACATTTTTAAATATTTGATTAATTCTTTCCAAATAAAAAGAATATATATTTTTAATACATGGTGAACATTTTTTCTATACACATTTAACATTTTTGAAATAATTGATTAACATTTTTCAAACACATGTTCAACATTTTTAAAAATGCTATATTAACATATTTATATACATGATATAATTTTTTTCCTTATTTTTAAATACAGGGTAAACATTTTTTGTATACACATTTAACATTTTCCAAATGCTTTACTAACATTTTTCAAATAATTACTCAACATTTTTATATACATGATCATATCTTTTCATCATTTTATTAATACATGGCCAACATTTCTTTTCTATACGCATTTAACATTTCCCAAATGCTCGATTGACATTTTTCAAATACTTGGTCAACTTTTAAAAAAAATGCTAGATTATCATTTTTATATACATGATAAAAAAAGTTATCATTATTTTAATACATTATCTATAATTTTTCTATACACATTCAACATTTTTACGAATGTTTGATTAACATTTGCCAAATACTTGTTCAACATTTTTAAAATATTTAAATAAACTAAATCAGAAAACAAATGGAAAAAAACAAAAAATAGAGGTTGTGGCCGGCCGTGCGTGTGGGCTGAAGCGAGATATAGGTGTACCCGTCGTTCCATGGGTTCACTCGTGACTGGTCGTGGTTGATCGGTGAATGGTTGACTTCTGAAAAAAAACCAAAAAATCGGCCAAAATCGAAATAAAATATAAATTCAAAAATTCTCATGGATTTTTAAAAAAGTTTACATACTCCAAAAGGTTCAAAAATTATGAAAAATATTATTGATTTAAAAATTCATCAAATTTGAAAAAAAAGTTCATCAGTTTTTTGAAAAATATCGTCAAATTTGAAAAAAATCGTCAATAAATATTATAAATTCATTTATTTGGATAAATAGTTTATTGAATTTGAAAAAAAATTCATCAAATTTCTAAAAAATTCATCAAAAAGTGAAACAATTTCATCAAATTCAACGAAAAAAAAGAACCAGAAAAAAGAAAAAAAGAAAAAGGAAGAAGAAGAAGAAGTAGAAGAAGAAGAAGAAGAAAAAGGAAAGAAGAAAAGAATAAGAACACGAATGGAAAAAGAATAACAGGCACAAACCGTTGATTGGCGTAGCGGCCACTGTTGTTCTCACTTAGCTGAGAGAGATCTTCTGTTCGAATCCATTGAGCGCACACCCTTTTTTGGTTTAAACAGAGAGAAAAAAGAAGCAAAACAGGTCGGCCCAGCGTGCAGGCGGGGGTGTGCGCCTGATTGCAGAAACACTACAAACGGGGGCCTGAAGCGCCTTTTAGGAAATGTCGGAGAGAGTGGCGTTCCCAGGGAGCTTAGAGTTGTAGAGAATAACTATTAAGGATTCTCTGTCAAAATTGCGCACAAGTTGGTAAACATTGAAGAACCAAAAAAAGAAACATGAAGAAAAATCAAACGGTATCGGTCCAGGAGCGCCAGTGCGAAGGTCTCAGTGAGAGTCGCTTCCTTTTTGTTGTTCTGTTTTGCGGAAAAATTTCGATCTATTCATCAATTGTCATGACAGTACAAAAAATATCAAAATCCCAATCTATTCATCAACTGTCATGACAGTACAAAAAATATCAGAAGTAATATAAATTATATACTGACTGGTAGACCACCTAGCGACGACTATAATCACTAGAGCAAGCCGAAGACGCGTCACCTTCAGCACCCCTCCGTCAATGGAGTCGGACAAACCTTGTTGTAGTAAACAAATAGGAAGTCGTTATGCTAAAACCCCATAGGACCAGTGTATCAGAACAACAACCATCACCAATGTAGAGAAGTGTAGATCAGAATTATAAACCTATAAACACATGAACACAGACAATGGAAGACTAGATTCATAGAGATCCACCGAAGATCAACACCGATCAAATCCCACGAGATCCGCCACACAGACACACTTCCATACACCCTTTGACAATGCTAGATGCAGCGCTGCGATGAGGTTAGGTGAGAAGGACCTTATTTCATCTTCAGGGAGTCGCCGCCGCCTCGCCTTTCTGAAGAGGACACAAACCTTAATCAACCTCAGAAGAACACCTAAAAATAGAGTAGGAGTCCTCCCGCCGGCAAGGGTCGGGGTTCACCGCGCCTCCAAGGACCTAAGGCCACAGGAGATGAGGCAGACCGGCGGTGGCTCCGACGGGAGGCATGAGGTCCATGTCGTCTGGGAGGCCTTTCTTGGGGACAAGGACAACTTTTCTGCTTTCATCATTCTAGACGAAGTCCTACGTTTTGTTGTGATTTTTTTTAAAGCGTGATTTGTTTTCATTCAAATTTGGCTCCAAAATTGAATTTTTTAATCACCCTTGCTCTTAAATCTGAAACAAGACTTCTAAGAATTTTATTTTGTTTCCTTTTAAAATGAAATCCAGCACCCTACTAGTACCTCGTAATCACCGAACGGTGCCAACTTTCTCTTTTGACAACGTTTTGACCAAACCTCCCCGCTTCTCCAAGACGGGCCTACAAGTCTATGACCGGGCTACTAGACGTGTGATACAGTGCCATCATCCTAGGGCCGTAGAGTCCCATCCCATCAGAGCAGCAGAGACAAAGAATGAGAGGGCAAATCAGGGCATCCTACAGGCCTTCCGTTCGGTGGCTCCACTTGCTTCTTCTCTCCCTCCTCCGCCTTCCCGTGGTATCCATGCTTGCTTCTTCAAGTTCCAGCAACACATCAGCGTTGTGAGCCTTGAGTACTACTCCCTTCCGGCCTGCATTGCAGTGAGTGAGTCCTTGGCTTTTGGTTGCTGCCTAGCCTTTGGTTTATCTCCTTCCCTACATGTGCATTTTGCTTCTTTTCTTTCAGCCCTTTTGTTGGGGAAACTCTCAGAATTTACCACAGGGAGAAGCTATACATGTTTCTTTCTTGTTAGAGATCAGGTAATTTGATGGGTGCGTGCAGGGGCTAAGCATTTAGGCGTTTGTAATTTTGCTTGATCTTTGGCTGGTCGTTTGTACAAACTCCCTGTAATTTTGCTTGATGTTCATGGTACAAACTCCCTGTACTTAGGCGTTTGTACAAACTCACTGTACTCTGTTTCTTGATTCCATCTTAATATACCACAAGGCACAAGCAGTTGTCCTGCATGATTCGGAAAAAAGAAACTTAATGAGTAGGTGCAGTGTAAAAAATGCTGCAGAGGATACCAAGATTTTCTTTCTCTGCCAGTCATAATCTATGTTTTTCTGCTTACAGGACATAAGTAGGCGGCGAGATGAGCAATTCCTGTGAGTGCTGCAAGAGATACTGGACTCATTTGCATGGAAAGGTCAAGTGTTTCTTCACGCACATGGATAGACACTCTAGGCATAGCATGGTAAGCTCAGTGGTGGGTTGCCTTGATCATTGAACCGGTAGCAATAAGACATGTTCTAAACTAACACTAGTAACAATTAAAAAAATTGCAGGTCATACCAGAGAGATTTGTGAACTATTTCGCGTGGAAGCTGTCAGGAACCATTGAACTAGAAGCCCCCAACGGCAATGTGTACGATGTTGGAATTACTGAGCGTAGGAACAAAACATTACTCAGATCTGGGTGGGAGGCGTTTGTCGATGCCAACCATATAGTAGAGAACGACTCATTGATGTTCCGATACCGTGGAAGTTGTCGCTTCAAGGTTGTGGTCTTTGATTCTAGTGGTTGTGAGAAAGTGGTGTCCTGTGCTCGCATACTGACCAATATTAGTGATCAAGAACCAAGCACAAATTCTGCAGACATTTCGACCAGTTTCAGTGATGGTAATACTCCTTCGTCAGCACGAGCACGATCAGATGATTGCCAGAGTGGAAGCTCAGGCCACCGTAGAAAACGAGCAAAGAAAGATGTGATATCTTATCCTTCGGAGGGTTCGTCAGATTAACTTTACAACTGACTTGTGACTATTGATCATACCATTTTGCTGCAGTTACCAACCCTTACTCATGAAACTATTTTACAGGAGAAGACAGTCCAGATGAGCACAAGTCATCTGAATCCGAAGATATTGAACATATTCGATTAACACCCGAGCATGATGATACAGACCCCTGCATGATGCCAATGGGTACCCGTCTAACGCAAGTGCAGGAGAAGAAAGTTCTAAAGAAAGTAGGAGCCATTGCATCCGATCTGCACATCTACGTCGCAGTCATGACCAGGCGCATTGTCCTCGTCTCCCTAGTAAGTCTAGTCTAGAATAATATTCTTCTGATTTTGGGTTGACGGTTATTTTGTTTTGAGAGAAATCAGTCCACATAAGCAAATATGCTACTACCAAGTACCAACCATAGTTGTTTCACAACAGCTGTTTCAGCAACAGTTCATACTTGTTATCTACTGCCACTCATCTACATATTTGCAAGCTTGCATTTTATTCTAATATGTTCAGTATTCTGCGTGTATTTGAACAAACAGACCTTCGCCACACAATACTCTGAAACGTACCTTCGGAAGGGGAGCCGGAGTTTGGTGCTTCAGGCTGAGGGGAAGAGCCAGCGATGGCATACTGAGTTGCACGACACCAAACGGACCCTGAGGATATGTCGAGGCTGGACTTCTTTTGCCAGAGACAACAACCTGCGGGAGAGGGACATCTGCCTCTTCGAGCTAATGAAAAACGAGGGGGAGCAGAAGAAGATGATGGTCTATATCATTCTGGCATTTTGTATGTTGCTGATGGGGCTCTTTGCTGCTTTTGTGATCTGGAAGTAGAACTATGGGCATGGCCACTCTGGAATGAGTAACAAACCTATATCTGCATGGCAAACTAGAAACTTAGTTTTAAACATAAACAGGTTGTGATTTCTTTCTTCAGTGGCAGCCCTATTTTGTGGCATGAATTTAAACTAGTTGTGCTGACAACGTTTGTATGAGGAAGCCACTTAATTGTTTGTATCCTCTGAAGTTTGTTGAACTCATGATGCCTAGTTTCTTAGTTCACTTGTGTACTTCCCTTGGGTTGATGCAAATTCAGTGCATATCAGAATGTACTCTACTCACTACGGTAAATCCAACCACAAAGAATATCCAGGAATTAGTGAGACAGCATTCAAGAAGAAGGACCGAGTGGAAGATCGCAAGACAATTCGTCTGGATGGATGGCTCTTGTCTTCAATGTCACTTCTATTTTATTTTATTTCCTTTTTGGCCTAGACATGTACACCATTGAAATTGGCTCTGAGAGCCATGCCATATACGATTATGAAACAATTAATTTACCTGAAGAATAAGTACATATTTCTTTTTTATACTATTTCAGTCAGTTTCAGCTATATTAGGATCAGACACCACTATTTTGAAAATTTAATATTCATAATCTTAACGAGGCAAAAACAATTAGGCTGTTTGGATTTTGTCACGTAGAAACCTTTCAAAAAAATATCTCAATGATTGAATTTTCGAAAGTCTTGAATTCCTTTTTTTCACCATTGAGTGGTTTGAACATTTTCATGTTTATAAAAAATCACAATTGAGTGGTTTGAAAATTTTCAAGTTCCATTTTATTTTATTCAGAATATCTCTCAATGTTTGATATTTCCATGTTTTAGAATATTCTTGTTCAGAAAATTTCATGGTCCTCACTTCTAATTGACTGGTTTGATATTTCCATTGAGTGGTTTGAACATTTTCAAGTTTTAAAAACAAATACAACTGACTGGTTTGAAAAAATTTAAGTTCAGTTTATTCTATTCAGAATATCTCCCAATGTTTGAAATTTCCATGTTTTAGAGAATTCCTGTTCAGAAAATAAGTCATGTGTGTATTAAAATATCAATTTTACAGGCTAATTTAATGTTTGAATCTGATAGGTCAGTACAAATATGAAAAATATCAATAACTTGGGGTAAAACATTACTTACATGGATATTACACTAAATATGTGTCTAACAGAAACTACTTAGCTCTATAAATATAATTATGTTTCTTCCCTTTGGGTAAACAAGGAAAGACTATTGCATACTTCCAAATATGAGCTAATATTTCCAATTCATGTTTTTTCACATATAATTCAAACATGTGAATTAACATAGTAGATTGGATCCGCACGAAAGGAGTTTCAAAATCACCTTGAAATGTTCAGTACCGTAAAACTGAAATGTTCTTAAAACAGTGTTATATGATCAAGAGCATATATATAGTTTGAGGATGAAAATCGCCTCAAATGTTGGTCCTCATATAATGCAGCATCTATAGGAAAGTCTAGAAGATCTTAATCCCTTTTTCTTTTTTATCTCTACTAAAGGTATTGCTAATAATTCAGATTTGGCAAAACCAGATGAACTATATGGTATGCCAAATATGGAAAAAGGGTCACATACCTTCAAGTAATGTCATCAAATTTGAGTCATTAAGCTCTCCATATTGCCCACCAGGTTCACCAGAGCAATTCGATGTAAAAGTAATACAAAATGAAAGAACTAGAGATTAGTTCAGACAAATTTACTCACAGGGGTAATAATGCTCTTGCACTAATCTAGCCTTATGGTGCAAGCAGCAAACGGCTGGGCAATGTAAGTTATTGCACAACCCGCGACCCACTTTATACTTTGGTTAAGAACTTTTCCTTTGATGAAATGCGAACACAAACTTCAGGCATCCAAGAAAGAAGTCAAGATCGAAATCGAAGCATTGTCATTGGGTAAAAGAAAAAACTGCGAAAAAATCCGTTTTCCTAAATAAAAAGATCAAGAAATCTATTTTGAAATAATTCAGAACAATAGAACTTGGAAGTTGCATGTGATAGTTTATAAATCTACATAGTAGGAAGATATTATACTATGCAGCCACTGCTCAATACGGCAAGACACTTATAAACTTCACATATAAGGCAAGACACTTAGTTTATAAATCTGTTTGCATGCGGCGATGAATTTCGTAGCTATTGGTGGGTAGTTGCACCATCAACCTTATGTTGCATCAAAGAACATATGAAGAAATGAACTATATAACTAAAAGCAGCCCAAATCCTGTACGGGGACAAAATGAAGAGAAAATAGGAGAGAACTCAGGGATCATAGAAATCTGAAGCTCATAATTCTGAAGTCATACATGAATATAACAGCACAATCATGACTTAAGTAAGACATGTAAAAGAAGGAAAATGTTGGACGACTTATGAAGGATATTCTGAATTCTGAAACCTCTCTAAGAATTTGGGGAGGTTTTCCAATTTTTAAGTGAAAATTAGGTACCATACATCAGAAAACGTATGCAAAAGCCATTCCACTGCTTTTTCAATCTGAAATTAGAACTTTTTGCATACACCTATATGTACTGCAATTATTATTTCGTAAATTTGACGGTGCATAAACTTTAAAGCACAACAAAAACTTTTACTACAACTTCAACAGAAAAATGAAACATTTGCTTAGTCAGTTTGCTTACCAGGAACTAATAGGACACCCAGATCACTCACACATGAGAAAATAAAGAAGTGTCCTTGTGAACACACAGCATCTTATAAAACACATGGCTACATACAGCCTAGTGCTTGGATAAGTTTCAATTAAAACATACAAACTGAATAAACATCAAATCATCACAGTTCAAAATACTAGAGTAGATCGAACCTTAATGGCACCTCACGCAGCAATCAGTTAAAAATTGATCACTTCATAAATCCCACCAGCCTGTCACTAGAGAAATCTTAATTGCAACCATCAGAAAATTGCAGGTCTCAAACAACTAATGCTTTGAAAATTCTAAATCTGAAAATACAGAAAATAAACATTATATAACCATGACCTACCAATTGACATTAATATAAATCTAATAAGGCCATGGGTTTATCTAAAACATTGAGATAATCATATATGACAGAATCACTAGCCAAGAAGCACATAGGAACTGCATCCCGTCCCTCGCGGTCACAGCCGCTGCAGAGGTATGAAGGGCAGTTACTCGGGGTGAAACAGTTACTGAGGAATAGGAAGGAGGAATAAAGTGAAAGATAACAGAGACAGTGGAGGCAATGCCAGTGCTGCCGAGGTCACAAAACAGTAGCCCGATGTGAGCGCACATCACAACTCAGCTTAAGTGGATCAATTTATTTATCAAACAAGCCGATTACATCCTAACTTATCGACTTGAACACATGAACCGGACTCTGTAACAGCCTAACAGGGCCCATCAATTGGCATAGACACATCGAAAGACAACCAGAGGAGGAACTCTTGCTAGAAAGCTTGGGAAGATTCGACTAGATGACAACTAGGTAGAAGAACTCCTCGCCATCCCCACCAATCAGCGACTCCTCTTCCCTGCCTTTGCCTTCCAGCTTATCCTGCTAGATGTTTTGGACTTGTAATCCGATTACTTCTGGTTGTCTCCTCAACACTCAGCAACATGAAGGCCATCAGTGAGTTTAATTCGGTTGTATGTGCTCCGACATTGACAGGAAAACAAAAGAAAGCAAGTTATTCATATGGCCTCAAAAAGACTCTGCAATAAACACAAGGAGAGTGTAAAAGATTGAACCTTCTTCAGGCGATTTGGTCAGCACGACCAGGGGGGTTTGGTTGATACGACTAGATGACCGTCCAGTAGACCAGCTCCTCGACAGTCGGCTCCTTTTCACCCCCTTGCCGCTCCAGGATTTCTTCTGCCACAACTGCCGCAGCTGTCTCCTGGTCACGGCTGTTCTGCCCCTCGGTCACGATGAGGCAGCCGCGGTGGAAGGAAGACTGGAAGAGGGAGATGGGCCTCGCCGACGGCGCAGGGCGATGCTGCGGTCCAGGATCGCCGACGACCAACCAGCAGCCTCGGGGTCGTCGGCGAGAAGGAGATCCCCGCAGCGATCTCTCTTCTTCCCGCCGGGGTCGCGCATCTGCACCGGCTGGACGGGATCCACGAAGGTGAAAGGTCCGTTCATGACGAGCATGGCGCTCGCGCCCTGCAGCGGGATCTCGACGGACGTCATAGCGGCGGCTGTGGAAATCGAAAACCTAAATCTGGCTTGGAGCAGCGAGAGCGCGGGAGCAAGGAGAGAGTTGAGAGCGGAAGCAAAGACGGAGAAATCAAATTATCGATCTGGGCGACGGGTTAGAGGGGTACGGCTTTATACCCGAAACAAGTCGAATACGCGTATTTTATACCGGAAACAAGTCGAATACGTATTTTATGCCATAAACAAGTCGATTAGGTATTTTCTTACCGTAGGAAATTGGTAAGTACTGGGATTTTTTTAGCAAAAGGCAAGTCCTCGGATGACGCGCGTCACCAGCATCTTCGTACGTGTAAACATTTTTTTCTTTTTGAGAAAATCATACCTGAAAAGATGGAGGAATGAGAGAGTTGAGCGAAGACAAAGATGGAGGAATTTATAGATCTGCGCCGGGCGACGGGTTACAGGATTCGGGATCCGAAACAAACTTACAGCTCTATAAATTATACAGTACAACCGAAAACAAATCGAATATGTATTTTATATGTGCATTACCTTTTTGTAGGTTATACGTGAAAAGTTGTGGCGCTCTACTTTTTTTTTGAGACAATTTGCCACTCTACTTCTTTTTTAGGGGAATCTGGCGCTCGGATGGAGAGATGGGCTAGCAATATGTGCCGCTACTGGGCCGAGAATTCAAAAAAAAAACTAAATTGTTTTGTGTTGTAAGATGCTCAAATGTGTGATGTTTTTTAAAAAAATTGGATTGTTTGAACATTTAAGGAGCTCATGGCAAAACAACAAAATCGGGTGCAAATTTGTTTGGACATTCAAGGAGCTCATGAGCTCCTCCAATGTCTAAACAACCCGAGATTTTTTAAGAACATCACACATTTGAGCATCCTGCACAACAAAAATATTCAGTTTTTTTCTTTTTTTTTCGGGTGTAGAAGAGGCCGGATGTAGAACATCACCCATTTCAAAATACAGGCGTTAGAATACGTTTTTTGATTGAATAGGTTCTATCTGCTTCCCTTCAACATTTACTGTTCACCAGGTGTAGACGAGCCCGGACACCGAATTAATTTTTTGAATAAATGGGGCCTACACTGTCACGTAATAATATCTATATTGCCTTAAAAACATAATAATTCCTGTAGCTCTAAAGAAAACATAATAATCATGGTATGCTAAAAAGGAATATTATACTAGCCGCCGCCGCCGCCCCGGTCCTCCTCTTCCCCATCTGGTGGCCTCATCGGCGTAAAAGGAGTGTGGACTCGTCTATTTCGTTTAATTTTTCTTAGGGTTTTGCTTCTCCGATGAGATCGACGAGGTGGGCGATGATGGCCTATCCGGCGCCATCCGAACCGGCGACGACGTTCGATCTCTCCCTACGTCGACGACATCGATCTGCCGCTGAAGGGCTTGTGAGAGTTTGTGTCCCCATATATGTTGTTTCCCTTCAGATCTTGGCAGTTCATGTGTCTTTCGAGAAGAGTTTTTCGCTGGGCGCTGGTGTGGCGACTTCAACATCTTCTTATGTGTTGTTCTGTAGCTTGGCCCGGTTTCTCCATCCCTCTGGACTGTTGGTGATTGATTTTAAGCATGTTCTGCATGGGGTTATGCTCCGACCGATGTTGCTTTAGCGATTTATAAATCTCATCTCAAGGGTCGAGTAGCTATTGCAGTTTTCAAAGCCTGGTTTGGTGAGGGCGTTTGCAGGTGTCACTTTTCTTTGCTGTTGGGTCAGTGCAATTTTCAATCTCCGGTGGATGATGTACAATCGGAGGAAGAAGAAGATTAGTATGTTTTAGTGTATTGTTATCTTTTACTACTCATTATACATCCAGTTGTCTATTTATTGTACTGGTCTTTGTTTTCCTTGATATTAATCAGATCTAAGATGTCCTTGGGTGTCTTTATTCAAAAGGAAAGAATCTTTTACTACATCTATTCCTAAATATAAGACATTTTTGCAGTTTAAGTCAGAGGGTGTAGTTCTAAAATTAACATAATGATTCTTGTAACGTTGGAAAAAAGCACAACAACAACTATATCTATATCTATATACCAAATACTAAAGGGGGGACTGTTTCTGCCAAGTATTTTTTGTACATCTAGGTTTCGCACGTCAAGGTTTGTCGTCTACCTCCTTCTCGTGGTAAGAAAAGCACTAGAAAAAAATCAGTTACAGGCCAGAGCAAAAAAAGGGGGTGGGGATCCATACAATCCTCCGAGCAAACAGACATGATTCCCATCAAGACTATGTCCTCAAAGCAAACGGACATAGTTCTCGTCCAGATTGCCTACCTGATTCCCTACACCTATATATATAAAGAGAGGGGTATCAATCTAGATATCACGGTGCTGCATACGATAGATGCCTTACGAGGAGCAAAGGTTGGCGGAGGAGGAGGAGGCGCTTGAGGAGGGAGGGAGATCAATCTAAATTTCATTGCAGGGGATGATTGGTGCCCAGTGAGGAGTAGAGGATGACAGAGGAGGAGGAGGTGCTTGAGGAGGGAGGGAGATCAATCTAGATATCACGACAGGGAAGACGATCCGTGCCCGACCAGGAGCAGAGGATGACAAATCAGGAGGCGTATGTGCCGCCTCTGAGCCGTCTGTGGTGGCCATCGACACATCCTAACCCTATGTCAGAATAAGTGCACTAACGTGGTCGGGGCTGTGGACAAAGGCAACCGCAGTTCCAGCTACCGGACGAACAAGTCAGTGGCATCGTCTTAACTGACAGCTCGACAACTCTAGACAGAAACACTGCCATGTAGACAAAACATCTGGTTCAAGGAAGCACTGCCATGGCAGCAAAAAATGTTGTTGTGGCAACCACATCGATGGTAGGGACCAATTAGGGGAAAGGTCGCAACATTATGCATTTGAATCATAAGTATGTGGGACCTAACCGGATCAATGCTACTTAAGGAGAAGCGCAAGAGGACGGGAAGGCATCATGTGGATCACGACAACGGCTAGGCGGCTTTTACATTTCTTCTTTTACCTATAGTGCAAAGTTGTATCTCAGAGAGACCATCCCCCACATTCGATCATGTGAATGCAATAGAGGGAACTAGAACTTAACATCATGGCATCAAAGACCAACCACTACCCTTCCACCACCTCCACCACCATCAACGTTGCATACCTGCCGTCAGAGACATGCCTGTGAAGCTTTGGTCGCATCCATGGACCCCGAGCTTCATGCCTACCTCGACAAGATGAACTCCAACTCCAACGCGACCGACCACGCTAACAAGTAGGACAACATCTCGCTTCCACTCTCAAGGCGCCTGACACGCAGATGGCCCAGATCGACTCCCTTGCCGCATGGAAACCAGAGCTCAAAGCGCGTCTCGCCAAGTTGGATCTCTCGGTCTCTGTTGCAGGTGGCATCCTTGCAGCCACACTGAATACGGGGTGGAGTGCCTCACAATCCATCGCCCCTCGCAGCACAAAAGGCAGCCTCCATATGCAGTTAAGCCATGGCGCGGTGCTTCTCATCGAGAAGAGGGCGTCGGTGATCCTCAAGTCGCCAACGGCAACCCCCTGTCATGGGTATGACCGTGCTCTTTCTATGTTTCCTGCTCTGATATAATCTCAAGTGATAGCTACCCTCAGTCAATCGCCGCCGTCTATGGCGTTCCTAATTTTCACCGAGGAAAACTAACATCTCTGGAAGACACTTGTGAGTAGTATTTTCAGATGTTCTCTGTGCATGAATTGTACCGGGTGCCCGTGCCCATCCTTAGTTTCTCTTACTCCACAAGCATTTGGTTGCAGTCGGTTCATTAGGAATTGACAGACATGACATGGAAATAGTTTGATGCTCTCCTATGCAGGCGATTTGGTCGCGATAAGCATCCATTACTGATTCGTCAGATCTATGCTATTCATCAAATCAGTTCGGTTGCTGATTTTTTCGAGCGATTTGAAACATTGATGAATCAGTTGATATCTTACTCCAAGCTAAATCACAAGTATTTCTTCCTGACACCATGACACGGTTCATCGATCCCGCGTCTGCGCCCCACCTTCGTCCGCGCCCGCCGCCACGCCCCTACTGGGTAAGAAAATCAGTTCTCGTGCAGAAGGCTCGCTGCAAGGGGATGTTGTAAGGGCATATTTATCCCTAAGGTGTTTTGGTGATTGATGACAACGCGTTTGCGGACTAATCGTGTGTCTTGAGTATCCCAGACATTTCATCGCTAGGCACAAGACGGTTGGGTGCCCTCAAAGACTGTTGAAGACGACGTCTTTTCTACGTTTCTTTTTGGTGTATTTGAATCGTAGGAAAGCCGTACTGTTAAGAGGGGGTCCACACCGGAAAGGTTTGGGTGGAATCATCACGTACACGTCTCTTTCTAGTCCCCTCCTTTTCCCCTGGAGCTTCCTCCGCTTTCTCGCCTCCTTGGTTCTGGCTGCTGGGTTGGCTCGCGGTAGTACTGCTCCCAGGTGAGCGGTAGTACCGTAGGCACCAGCGGTAGTACCCTGCGGTGGCGGGGTAGTACCGCAGGTGCCCACGGTAGTACCGCTCCCCTGGAGCTGCACTACCGTTGCTCACCAGACTAGTACCGCTCCTTCGCGGTAGTAGGGGCAGATGTAATTTTTTACATCCACGCCTACCGCGGTAGTACCGTGCTATGTTGTCAGGCAGTAGTACCGCCCCTTGGTAGTACTACTGTGTCGGGTTTTTGCTTCTTCCGTTTCTTTGCGGAAGTAGGCGCGGTTGTATCCTTCCCCCTGGCTAAGGGATTCCTGTCGTGCGGTAGTACCGCATGGGGGGCGCGGTAGTACCGCGCCCGTGAAAGTACCGCCCTCAGATCCTGTGTTTCTGATCTGACCTTGCTATTGCTAGGGTTGCGGCAATACCGCGAGCTTGTACGGTAGTACCGCATGTCCATGCGGTAGTACCGCTTGGTAGAAAGCGGTAGTACCGCGCGGCCCTGCGGTAGTACCGCTAGCCTGGAGCGGTAGTACCGCTGGCCGCGGGCTAGTAGGTGGATAACGGTTGGATC